CCTCTCCTCTGATGACGGCTGCGTGGCTCTTGCCAAACCTCCCCTTTCCCCCACAATGCAAACCTCAGTTTTGAGTCTCACAGGAATAAAGCCACATGAAAGCAAAAACTTCTTAAAACTGAGTTGGGCAATATATTTCAGTGAAAAGGGAAAAATCTTCAGACTCCAAGACTCCTTCAGCTGGACAGGAGGGTCAGTTTTGAAGTCAGAAGTTTTAAATACTTGCAATGTCACTGTGTCTTCACATTTTTATGAGCTGAAACTGGGACGGGAGAAGTCACATATTTACGTGGATAAGGATCTTGTAACTGGCGCATGATTACAAGTCTTTATTTTTAGAAGTACTTCACTTAATTTTTTTAATAGATAACAGAAACAGAACAAAATCTACAACATTCAAAAGGATTTAAAATCCCTTCAAGAAGGGATCCCTGCCCCTGCCCCCTCATTCCCGATGTGGGGTCACTTCTGTCACCAGCCCCCAACCTCTCCTTCGAGAAGCCAGCCACGTTCAACAATGGGGACATGGGGACGTCTGAAGCATGCGAGTTCCTATTTCCAGACACTGACCTGAGAGAACACCTGATCCGAAGGCCACGGCGTCTACTGAAATTTCTCTGATGTGCCCAATCCATAGGGCTGTCCCCACCTATGTGAGTCACACCAAAAAGTTGACCGAACACTCTGGGCCTCCCTTTCTCGCTTGGGCAAAGGCGGCGGCCTTCTCACCACCGGAGGCGGGAAGGGTCGCTTTCTTCTGCTGCATCTGTGCTGGCCAGGCCCGTTCAGAAAGGAGGAGCCCCGGGTCTGGAGGGCATCAGAAAAAGGGGAAACAGCCACAGGACACCACTCAGCGAGAGCCACCGAGACGGGGAGCACGGCCCAGACGGGGAGCAGCGCGGCCGAGACGGGGAGCGCGGCTGAGACGCACGCGCCTCGCTCTGACCCCACCTGTGTCCCAGCCGGGGCCACGAGGAAAAACAAAGGCCATACAGATCCCAAAGGAAGAAAGAAAAACCTTTATTCATAGAATGTACCAAAAAAATCTACAAGCAAAGCTAATAGAACTAGTGGTGTGTTTAGCAAGAACAGAAAATACAGAGTCAGTCAATGACCATGAAAATTAAACAAAAAAAGCACCATTCACAAAATTATGTTTTTAGGTTTGTGCTTTTGGTGGACTACCTGAGAAATCTTTGACCACTCCATTAAACACATAAAACACAGAGAAATAAATGTTTTAAATGTGCAAAATGTGTAGGTTGAAAACACGTCACAAAACACGGACGAGAGAAATTGCACAGACTCAGGCACGTGGAAAAATATACCAGGTCCATGGCTTTGAAGACTCAATTTTGTTAAGATATTAATTCTCCCCGAATTATAGATCAATGTAATCCCAGTCAAAATTCCTGTGGGACTATTTTGGAAATTGAGAAGCTCATTCAAAAATACATATGGCAATTCAGAGGATCCAGAATAGCAAAACAAGTTTAAGAACAAATTTGAGGACCTTACACTACGACGTAAGACCTGCTATGAAGCCACAGTGATCAAGACGCTGGCACTGGCATGAGGACGGGGGAGCATACCTATGGCGCAGGGCTTGGGGCTTAGCCTCAGAGGGTCTCCAGCTTCACTCAGGAAAGAATTCGAGAACGAGGTGGTGGTGGAAGAAAACAGTTTTATGGAGGCAGCAGTGTGATAGCTCTGAAACCGCTCCCGCAAAGCAGGGCT